TCCCACTATAGCGTTCATCTTCATATACAACCTTCAATTTTCATTTCTCACGAGTAAATCCAAAGATCACAAAACCATTCCCATTGTGATCTTTGGATTTACTCGTATTCAATCTCCCATTTTGAGTATACAATGGACGCCAAATTACCTAATTTCATTTCTCAATTGGCTAAATATCCAATATTTCATGTAAGGTGAAATAGTTTCAAAATGAATAACATTGTGAGTAGGAAATCCGTAAAGCTTAATTCTAATTAAAGTTCGGCAACTCTGAACATAGAGGTTTAGAATCACTTTCTGTAATGGAAACGTTTAGAAGCACAGTAAGAAATAATTTAAATATTTAATTACTTATACAGTTCAAGTAGCGTTTTAACGATTTATGTGTAAAAATAGTTTTTCAGTATCATTTGCGGAATTCGATTGCGTGGTACTTAATCAAAAATCCTTAGACTTTCATTTTTATTTAAATTATTTTATTTTTTGATTATTTTAAGGAAGACCGAAAACGCACATTACATTACAAAAAGCACACTTTTTTAATTTGATTTTATTTGCAAGTGGGCAGTGTCAAGTACAGCGAACTAACCCATTATGCACTTACTATTCCTGAATATGGGTTAGAACTAAGTACTCTCAAGCCTGTTGTCGAGCATCCCAGCTGCGATAAGCATAGACCTAGTGAGAAGAAAACCACATTATTGGAATTTGAGTGTGAAGGGAACTAGCGACAATTTCCTACACTTTCTCTGGTATTGACAGTCTCCATCCGGATTTCTCGCGCACCAATTTAGTCACTCCAGTTCTAATTATGTATGCCTGAATGTTTATATCTAACCTGTCAGTTTAAAGCGTACAGAAATTATAGGAATCACTACTACTACTAAAACAAGTAATTGTCTAACCCCCACCGCAAAGTGAAGCCATGTTTCGGCAAAATAATTATATTTCATTACTTAATCGACACTCAAGTGCTTACCTTACCTTTTTTGCTTGCCTATATAAATACGTGTAGTAAAGTAGTTATAGTAAAGAAATAATGTGTTATTACTATATCCAAAACATAATTGGGATAGATGTATGACGAGCAAATTTGGGAACTTTATGCTCGGATAAAGCGGCAATTTGAATATCGCAACAAGATCAAAATCGATAGATTACCTGAATTATATTTTTAAATCAATAAATACTGTGAAATGCAGGGAATGCATCGTCTGCTTTATTTATGATGCAAACGTTATAGGTTATACTTTAGGTAAATAGAATAAACAATTCTATGTAATCTTCCCAACTGAAAAAATATATCTAAATTAATTTACAAACTGAACAAATATTCTACTGATACGGTTCAAGTTTCGACGTGCAACGACTGCAATGACAGGATTATTACAACGAAGGCCTCATTGCAATCTTACATCTTTTTGACAGCTCTTTGATTTGAATGTTACTGCTACATAAAATACGGCGTTTTAATAGCCAACAACAAAAGCTTTACATGCAAATGGCGGTTTTTTTTTTTCAAATACAAATATTTTTTTTAAATTTTTGTGCTGAAATTTTCATATGTACCGCTCAATGCGAATGAGAATCTCGAGTTGGTTTAATGGCGACAATGGATATCGTGGTATAAATACGAGTGTTCCAATTTGCTGTGGGTCCGTTTCGGTTTTTTTCTGGTCGGCACAGTTTACAGATAAGCATAGTAGATTGCGATTGGTAGAGAACGCGAGTATAGAGTGTGTAATAACTGCTGGGGAGAAGAATAATATACCGTTTTTATGGCGGAGAGCGTACTTTTTATTGCGTATTGTAATACGAGTATTAGTGAATTAGAGTTTGAGCGCGTAATACGTTGATTACTCGAGGTGCACCCGTTTCGTCTTTGGAAATACCCATACGCAGACTTTAGTGACGAAAATAAATTTTTTTCTTATCTTACAGGAATATTTGTGCCAGGTGTCTTTGCGTCGCAGCGAGCGCAATCAGTTTTGTCGGATGTGCGCTCTGGGAGGAATTAAATCCGAAATTCGAATGGTACGGTTGAGTTTGTACCTAGATTTGTACATTTAAATCAAAGTTTCAGGCAAAGTCAAAAATTTTAATTATGAGAACTGGGAATGAAAGCGGACTTTTTAAGGTCATGGCTCCCCCCCCCCTCTTCCCCCCCTGAAATGTCCAAGATCATGGCCCTCCAATTTCCAAGGTCATAAACCTGGGATTCCCAAGGTCATGGTCCTGGGATTCCCAAGATTATAACCATGGGATTTCCAAGGTCGTAACTTTGAACCTTGGTCAAACGTCATTGCGTTTGGTGTTGGACCAAGGTTTTGGCCTTGAATTTTTACCAAGGTCATGGTTTTGAGTGTTGGACTTTTTCCCGAGGTCGAGACCTTGGGATTTCCCCTGGTTACGTCAAAAAGTCGCGGGCTTGGGACCTTGTTTGTTGTTCAAGGTCGTGGCGTTGGTACCGTAACTAACACGTGACTTTATTGTAATCTGAGAGATGATCGCGTACAAAAACAAAAGCGCATTAGTAAACAAGATGATAAGCAAAATATGCTGTATTGCAAAAAACCTAAATGACAAATTATGCATTTCAAAATTTTACAAAGACGAGGACGAAGCAAGCGAGCGAAAAGTTTACTTACACATAACGTTATGCTAGTCCTTTCTTTTTTTAGTTTTACACATGAAGAGAGATGCACAGTTATCACTATAATCGCGTAACTAAGATAAAGATGATGGTAAATTTGTTAAAACTGGTAGTAACAATACGTTGTAATGTTCCTAGGGGGGTCTATCAAGCCGGCACTGAAAACGTTGACTTTCCCTACACTTACCGTTGGCAACTCTGGGAAAAAACTACAAACAAAGTCACCTACGTTTCAAGTCGAAACGATGGACGTTTCGCGCCACTTCTGAATTTGGATGGCAGTCGGCTCGATATGGGTGGCACGAATGGACTCCTACGTTGTGTAATCGGTTCTTGTATGTGTTGGGACGTGAGACATAATCGAGAGGGGAATTAAATAAAAGACAGAACTTTTGTGCGTACGAAATGACAAGAACAAATAAATATATTGCGCACACAACAAGACCATGCCACGGAAACCTTTTATGGGACAAAAACCCAGGCATAGGCCACACAATACATGAAATAAATCACCTACAGCAATAAAATGCAAGAGAAAATACACATAAATAAAACAACTCAAATTGTATGATAAAAATCAGATAATCAAATCAAATGCAATTAAACAAGTTCATAAAAACAAAATACACAAGACATCATAAATGCAGTGGAAAACATGATAAGTCAATTCAGTACAAAATCAAAATACCTGTACAATCAATTGAGATAACACAACTCGTAAAATAAATAAATTGCATGTACATAGGAAACATGTAAATGGTGTGGCTCTACTTCAGCCTTCATTAGCATAATTTTATTTAACACGAAAAGTACATGTGAGAATGCCAATGGCCAATTACAAGTATTCATGTGAAAATCGATTATCGCTCAAGCAGAACATATTTTAAATAGTGGAAATGTTAATGAGAGGGCCCCTACTCGCATTGCTAAGATGCTAAGAACTACATTCCGCACGAGACGATTGGGCAACAGATACAGCGAAAGATCGAACTGTATTAGGTACCTACTCCACGGAAACAGAATGAACTACACAAACATCGAAACATCAAATAAGAGAGCCCCCCTTCGTATAGCTAACGCACAAGAACTGCACCGCGCCACGAATCAGAAAGTAACAGATACAGCGAACAGTCAAACTGTAGTAAGTACTTCCCTCACGGAAGTTACTATTTAATTGATCAGAGCAACATCACACTGGTAATCAACTCCTCGTGAATACAGAAGTAAATACTTAATAAAACAAAATAATGGTATAATCACCTGTACAGTGATGATTTAGATAACGGTACTCAAAACAAAGGCATGGAGTACGCCATGATTCAGATATCGCAGTTTATGCAAAATCAGCAAAAGGTAAATAATATCAAATTGTGGCAAGAAATTCAATTATTAATAGCTAGTACAAGAAAGAATAAAATGGTTACTACCTGTAAATACACCTTCAAAACACCACAACCAAAATAATCAAGAATAAAAACCGGGAACGCGTGATGCCTTCCGTCGACCTCATCGCCATCTTCTTCATTCTCCCCTAGCTTCGTTACCAAAATCCCCTAGTATTCGGCATCTGCGCAAAACGGTCGATTGGTTATATACAGAGCATATCATATTTTTGTTTCAGATGTAAAGGTGTGTTGCCTAACCATAAGGGTGGATTATCACAGTGTGTGGCCGAAATAACTGCTGTACGCTCCCCTTATTTTTTTGACACAACATAAAATTAGGCATAATAAACTCTACCTAATTCACCACTGATCGACTTCATTTCTACCCTTCCACACTCGTCTTAACGACGCGAATCTTTTTCCGTCGGTTTAATATTTTGCGCTCGACGCGAAATTGCTCCCGGCTTAATCTCAATTATCTCACGGTTCTTTCCCAATAACCTAATTCCTGATCACACCCATTCCCTGACTACGCCGTCTTCGCCAATAAAAATAATGCGAATTCAAATAAAATAAAAAATCCTTAACGGGATTCCTATACACTTCTCTCGGAAACCAAAAGTTGTGTAGAGCTGGTTTTAAGCTAAAAATCTTACAAATTAAGTATATGAGTGCTATCTTTCAAAATAAATGATACCTGTTATTGTCAAAAACGAGAAAAAGTGAAAAAAATCGAGGTTTTTGCCCACCACGCCGCTTCCACACATTTTCCTTTCAGCAGTAGTCTTAATAAAAAAATTCAGTTAATGCTCCACCCAATGTATAGTTCATTATTTGGTTCTATTAAAAAAAAAGCAGATGGTTACCATGTTGTGAACGTTATGGTTGGAAAAAGTATTACAAATTACAGATTGGGCGATACGTTTCAAAAGATATCAGATAGGCTACTAACGGTTCCATCAAACACGGCTGAGTTAATGGATCTATTGGCGTATTGTAAAGAAACCGAAACGGTCACGTTGCGGCAATTGGAAAAGGAGCTTGGTGTAGTTTTGAAATACATCATATTTCTGTCGGACCACACACTGTTCACGCCAGTAGAAATAAAGCATAACAACACAGCGTTTTTGTGGTAGGTTGACGAAATATAAATGGCGATAGGGAACAGCACGGTGTTTCAGGAACATACGAATGCCGAAAGTTATAGAAGAGCACAGGCAAATAGTTGACGTTAAGGTAGTCGAATTTCAGCAGTTGCTCAATGTTAGAATTCAAAAATTCAAAGACGATTTGGATATTTACGCAAAAATGGTTGATCAACTGCAGTACAATGGCAATATAGATGATCTGCCCAAATATCACAAGAAAGCGACACAATTGGATAACAGGTGAGATGAGCAAATGGACTGGATAATTGAATCTTAGAAAGAACCTTGCTAGAATAAAATATTATTACCTATAATTTTGTAGGCTGATACTTGCTATGGAAAGAATAGACGGTTTCAATACGGAAGAAGGAGCGTATGGTTTCGAGTTATCCCAGTATCCTCTGCGAAAGCAAATTCACGACAAGTTATCACCGTTCAAAAAGCTGTACGACCTTTCCATGGACTTCATTAACCAACATCACAATTGGATGACATCAAAAATTGGTTCTTTTGATCCCGAAATGATCGAAACTGAAGTCGGGACGTGTTATAGGAACATTTATAAACTCGAAAAGGTATTCAGCGACAGACCGGCGGCACAGGAACTGGCAACGAAAGTAGGTTTCTTGATCGCTTTGCAATATGCGTTTTACCTATATCATCTTTAGGTTCGAATCAAAGTGGAAGAGTTTAAGGAGCAGTTGCCTATAGTTCAAACTCTTGGCAATCCTGGAATGAAGGAGAGGCATTGGGAGCGGGTTTCCGAAGTTGTCGGTTTTCCTATTGTTGTCGACGAGGACTTGAGCTTGCAGAAGATCATCGGTTACGGTTTGGAAGAATTCATACCCAAATTTGAGGCGATATCGGAAGCGGCGACAAAGGAGAATAATCTCGAGAAACACTTGAACAAAATGATATCGGAATGGGTTGAGATTGAATTTAGCATTTTGATCTACAGGTAAGTATCGGTTGGCGTTTTCCTACGTACCTAATTAGGTATTGTTGTAGAGATACGGGTACGTATATTTTATCATCGGTTGACGATATCCAAGTATTGCTGGATGACCACATTGTGAAGACGCAAACAATGAAAAATTCGCCCTATATTAAACCTTTTGAAAAGGAAATTATGTAGGTATTTTCAAAAATAGGACTGTTGCTTGTATTGTTCGTTTTAGCGCTTGGGAAGCCAAACTGGTGTTGCTTCAAGCAATTCTGGATGAATGGTTGAAAGTGCAGGCGACTTGGATGTATCTGGAACCGATCTTTTCGTCACCAGACATTCAGCAACAAATGCCGGAAGAAGGGCGTAGATTTAGTGCCGTAGATAAGGTAGGGATTTCCCAAGGTTGTTTTATGTAAAAGGTTGTCTGGTAACTCTAAACCAATAGAATGCTTGCATTTTGAAGGCGGGAAAACGTCATCCAGAATTCACATTTAAAATTGCTCATAGGTTACAATGCTAATAAAAGGGGTAAAAAATTTAGTTTTTGCAGTATATTTTTGGATTTACGAGTATATGGGTATATTTATATTAGGGTGGATCTTATATTGGAAATCTTGGATGTTTATCGACCTCAACCTTTGAAAGCAAGCAAAGTATTGAAAAAATGAGTGTTGTGCGTAAGCTATTTTACATTGCACGAGGACTTGTGAAAATGTAATCAAATTAATTTTAGAGGTGGAAATGGATAAACAGGCCAGACAATCTACAAAATAGGAACCACCCCTATGTATTAGTACCTAGGCTTTGGGAATTAAAACTCTAAACATTCTTTACCGGATGACACCAAATAAAATGCTTTTGCGTTTTATGGAATATGTATATTTATAGTATGTATAAAATGGTAACCGATGTGCACACGGCGAGCTCTGTCGTTGGGGTGAGCCCAGGGGCAGGTCTTCTGACTGATGGAGTGTGGCGCGAGGTCGAGCTGGCAAGGCGACCTGGTTCTGCAGGTGGAAAGCTTTTTGTTTCTTGAAATGCAGTCGATGTAGAAATTGCGTTGCACTTTGCAGAGTTCGTGGCTCTGCTTTTAAACGTTTGCGGCCAGGGACGCTAAGCTTTCGTCCGTTGGCCGTTTTGACCAATGGGAGCCCAGCACATTTAAGTTTGCTGCCGCATGTGAAACATTTTCTTACCCATTCTTTAAGAACGGTAGGGTCTTTGGGAAACGTAAAAACTGAGATTTTATTTACACCAGGATGAGGAATTTTAGTGTTACCGCCACTTATCTAAAAAAATACTTAATTATAACATACAAAAGTGCATATAATTGATGAACTAACCTTTCAATCACGGCTATGAAAATCCACAAAATTCACAAACTAAATGTCTTTATATTGCAGCAAACAGGTATCTACAGCTAATATATGTTCCTATGCACTTCAAAATTCAACAAATTTTAAACAAATAAACTATAACTCAAGAAAATTAAGCACCCGCGCGACTACAAACAATGTTGAACGTCAATGTCTGAATTCTCGATGACGTATACATTCCGTCCCTCCCGCTTCCGCCCACATAGTTACCAGGTAACCTTTGAAATAAAATAACCTTGGGGATTTCCATTCTCACAGTGCACTATTGCTAAAAAATATCTAACTTTGCTATTGCCAAATAGTATTTGGGTAAGTTGAGCGAGTGTAGGCGATGCGATCCTGGGTGGAGGTGTTCCTGCTGCAGGTGGTTGTGTGCGTGGAAGTTCCGATGCAGGGCGCAGGTCCTGGATGCGTACCTTTACCTGCTCCCCGTTGTCTTTCCCAATCCAACATGCGTTTATCCTGGTGTATGTGATGACGGGATAGGGACCGTGTAAATTTCGACCAAAATCTCGCGTTATCCCTGTATCAATAGCTACTATGTATATCACAGCCTGACTCGCCCGTAAGCTTGATCTGTAAACTCGTCCGCCATTTTGGAGCCCACTAACAATTCACGCTTGCAAAACGTTGCATCTCTTGCATGTATGTATGCTCGTATGTATGTCTATCATTTAAAGAAAAGTTATCGATTTTTTAACGTTTATTAATGCATACAGGTATTTAAGGTAAGATTTTACAAATTAAACAGTTTACCGTGCATAAATTTAAACTATCAGAGGGCTCCAAAATGGCAGACGAGTCTGCGACCTTAATCAAGTACTGTACCTGGATCGTTTTATCACCATATAACCGTTTTTAGCGCATTTCCATAGAAATTAAAAAAATGTTCTATTGTGGCCACATTGTCCGTCCGTCCGCTCGTTCGGTTGAGACGCTACTAATTCTTTATCTTTTAATTGGGCGGTAGTGGATCCGTAGGTGGCGTAGTACGATCGGTAGCAGTGTTGATTCCGGTGAACCACACATTCTTCCTGCGGTTCGCCCTGTTTCACTGGGTGGTGAGTCTGACTGCGCGTACCAGTCACCCGGCCGAGGAAGCTCGTACTTTAGGAGGGAGTGACTTGAGGTTGTTTCGGCGACAGCGTTCTTTCTCGTCCGGAGAGTGTAGAGAAATATGGTTAGGATGTCGTCCCATGTCTTGGGGTCTTTTTGTTCGCAGCGGATTCGGCGGCCCTTTTTTAGCGCATTTCCACAAAAATGAAAAAAAATGCGCTATTGTGGCCACTTTGCCCGTCCGTCCGTCCGCTCGTTCGTTGAGACGCTACTAGTTCTTTATCTTAAGAGCTATTTGGTTCCTTATGGTATCTAGGCTTGCACCAAGGAAGGAATTTTTTCTGCGTTTATTGCTAAAAAAGATATTGTAAAAAACCAAAAAACCGTTTTTTATATGTTCCATAATTTTACACTTTTGCCGTTTTTAACAATCCTAGAGATCGTTTATAATTTTGTATTGCTGTCTGTCGTCTGTCTGTTGATTTGTCCATCTGTTCCTTTGTCTGTCTGTCCCTCTATCTGTCCGTGTGAACGATAACTTTGGTTAGAAATGTCCGATCGCTTTGACATCTCCCGTTAGTTATGAACTGAATTGCATGAAATTCAATATGGGCATAGCTTTAGCCATATAATACGCAATGCCAAAAGTTGAATCGAATCGATGCAAAAGTCACAGTGTCCTTTTGGCATCTCGACCATTAATAAACCGAATTGCAAACTTTTTTATTTATAAAAGTATTTGAATGAAATTTGATACATAGGCACTTGGAATAAAGGAAAATCAAACGCCAGTTTCAAAACTTGGTTTTGCGCATGCGCAGTGTCAACTTTTTTATTTATGGAAGCATTTAAATGAAATTTGATACATAGGCGCTTGGAACAAAGGAAAATCTAACGTTAATTTCAAAATTCAGATTTGCGCATGCACAGTTCTAACTTTCATATTTAGAAAAGCATTGAAATGAAATTCTTCTTATAAACTGAAATTGAAGTAGCACGTCAAAAATGGATTGGACATGTGCAACGCTATCTTTCATATTTGTGGCGGATTTTTACGATTTTAACAGAAGTTGCATCTTACAAATGGGTAATAAATGCAAGTGGAAATGCGCTTTTTATAAATCGTTTACGATTACTTTTTAATTATTTTCTGGTGTCGCCTGTGAGTTAGCTTGTGGCGGCGTCTAATGGACGCACCCGCAATATCGTGTAACGGATGGTTTCAAATTATAGGGTGGTTCGGTAATTCTGACCGGAGGAGGGGTGTCAATGTGTATTGGTTCCTTGCAAAGGGTTGAAAGTTTTCTCAGGTTCGTCGTGTGATTTTTTCTTTCTTCTTGTAATTTTTTCGTCTTATTATGTTGCTAAAGTACTTTTGGAACTTACCTTTTTGGACTTTTACTTCTAGCTAGGTCAGGTAAAAAATGGTATATAATTAAGAATGTACTTAGTTCATTCCGCTTTCACTGATATATCTTATTGTCAAGAATTTGTAATCATTATTTGGAAAAATATAGGTTCAAAATTTACAGTTGAATCTAGAGAATTTATGTAAATTTCGGTGTTGGCTCTCTTTGAAACAAATATGTATCTTTTTACTACTTCTTGCAGAACAGCAATAATTCCAAAGATCGTTTAGATGAATCACTTTTAGTTCACATGCAATTATGCAAAACATAGATAATGAAAAAGAAATAGGTGCCTTTATGGAACGAGTGACGTTATCTTTGGCGCCAATACAAATCGAATTGCAGTCACCTAATGGTGATGTGGAACTTAATTTTAGTTCGATGCGCATTCCTCTGACCTCCCCAAATTCTCACCATATCGTCTTTGGCAAATACTCCAAAATTAAATGCTGACCGGGCTGGTGAGTGGTTGCGAGTGTGCGTTGAGACGTACTTGCCAGTAGCCTGATTTTACTTCGGTCTATCACAAGGAAGAGTTTTGCTGGTTCAATGTCGCGGAACGTCTCGTTGATGTGTGGCAGGTTAGAGCTCTCGTCCAATGTGATTTTGTCCAGTCGCCGGTAGTCCACGCCGAACCTGGGTTGCCCGTCTCTGTTTTTCACCATCACGATGGGCGAACAGTATTCTGACGTGTTCTCGATTATCCTGGCTGTCAACATTACTTCGACTTCGTCGTTTCTTCTCCGGGGAATATTGCACGGGGCGCTCGGAAGGGTGTATCTTGGCGTGGCCGCATATGGTGAGTGGCGAAGGCGATGGTGAACGGCGGGGTGCGTTCGTGTATTGGAATGTTTGTAGCAGCTGGGGTATGACTGGTTGTCGGAACACGTGTTGGACGTCTTTCGTAGTGATAGTGGGCTGGTGTCTGGAAGTCTTAGTTTTCCTGCATCAATATTTAGTGCGACGTTGGGTCGCCCCCCAGTGGATGCAGCCCCGTTCGTAATCCAGTACGACCTACGGTTTCTTTAGCCAAACTTGGTCGAGGAAGATGGGTGATACGAGGTTTGAAGCGACAAGGAATTAGTCTCGCTCTACCTGTTCGTCGAGAGTGTATTGGATGGTGATGACGCCTGAGATGTGGAGGTGTTGCTTCAGCTCTGTGGGTGGCTGTTGTGTTCACTCGAACAAACTTCCATACCTATACCTCACTTGGTTTTACCGCTAGTTGGTTACTAAGAGACCAAGAAGTCCTTACTTCACGCTATTCTTTCCCTACTTTGACTGCTAACTCCAACTATAACAATGCCAACGTACCTTCCTACTGTGAAAAATCTTAGACTTTTGCTACATGATTAACCATAACCCGTAATCTGTATTCTAGTCCTGTTGCTCGTGGCGATCTTAAAACATCAATTCACAGTACACTTTATTGCTTGTTATTGAAACTCTGTCAACTCTGAGAGGTGGCCAGTATATATGTGAATTTAAATGGTTACTGTACGGTCTACCGTCTAAATCATTTAAACTTTTAATTTCAAACTGCACTCTCCTTTGGCAATAATACAGTCTTTTATCCTATATTGCACCATGTGATCTGATAAATGATAAACAAAATAAAATAAATGGTTGTTTGATGCAAGCAAGGGAGAATGGATACACGTTTTTTTGCAAATGTGTCTCATCTATTTGAAAACGGCTTGCGCTTGACTTTCGTTTTTAGTACGGTACGGAATGGTCTTAATAACATTCGAGAGTAAAGACGAATTTTAACATATACCGAAAAAAACAGTAACAGGTATAAATTTTTCATGCTGTAGATATGGCGCGACATCATGAAGATTTGCTTCGGTGAGCCAAGAGTTATGATGGTTGTCGAAATAGACAAAATGCTGGAACGTCTTTCGAAGTGCAACAATCTTTTAGACCTGATCCTCCGCGGGCTAAACGAGTATCTAGAAAAGAAAAGGTTGTATTTCCCTCGGTTCTTCTTCTTGTCTAACGACGAGCTGTTGGAGATATTATCTGAAACTAAGGATCCTACAAGGTACCTACTTCTAACCGTTCGTGATTATGTGGGCATCCAACTGAACATGTTAACAGAGTTCAACCGCACCTGAAGAAGTGCTTCGAGGGCATTGCAAAATTAGAATTCACCGAAGAATTGGAGGTGACCAAAATGAAATCGAGCGAAGGTGAGGAGGTTCCCTTGGTCGACGTAATTCGAACAGCGGACGCGCACGGGCAGGTCGAGAAATGGTTGCTCGAACTAGAAACAGATATGAAGAAATCAGTGCACAAGATGGTCGAAGGCGCCATTACTGACTATCCCAAGCGTCCTAGAGATAGCTGGGTCCTACTTTGGCCCGGACAAACGGTATGTATGATGTTCGACGAGCTAAACTCGAATCCGGTAAATTACAGGTGCAAAGTGTAGCAATGACGTATTGGACTACAGACGTCCATCAGGCAATCACAGTTAGCCTGGATGCGATGGAAGAATGTTTAGAACAAAGCAATTATGAAATATCGAAAGTTGTAAATTTAGTTCGAGGGAAACTGAATCCACAAAATCGAATTACTCTTGGTAATAGTTTTATAAATCTGCTCAAGTTCTGATAGTGGTGTTGTGTTTCAGGAGCGTTGGTAGTTCTCGATGTGCACGCTAGAGACGTACTCTCGGAGCTAATTGAGTTGAAAGTCAAATTTATTACCGATTTTCAGTGGTTGTCACAAATTCGTTATTACTGGGAGGTAAGTAACTGTGCGATAGAATTCCTGTCAATATTGTAACGGTTGGTTGCAAACGCTTTGGCCCGCATAATGCTCTCCGAAAACCTCTCTCGCTTAATTCCAATTTTACAACCACACCTTCAAAATGGTGGATAAGCGACCATATTTATTAGTTTAACCCATTACATTTCATCCCCATTGACCAATCCCGTTTAGAAAAGTGATTTCTTGAAGACTCGGTCGTTAAAAACCCTGAATAATCAGTTCTCATGCTGCGTCATGAAACTTATCCAACTCATCAGATATTTACACTTATAACCCATTAATTCTGCCTAATCTCCCGCCAGACGGGCGCGACCAACTTTCTCACGCAATTAATCGGCCAATGCCGTATCCGGAAACCATTGACTTAAAACCAATAAAGCGACCGAACTTATTGCGAAACCATTGAACCAAAAAAACAATAGAGCAACAACATTTTGGAGAAACCTCTCTTGACGAAAGTTCAAACTAAGATGGCTGTCACGTAAGAAACCTTCGTGCTCTCCGAGACGGCGCAGTCAGCTTTCCCCGTTTAAAGTGTGTGTAGCGTCGTAAAAGTTATGTATACAGGGTGGAACCTCTCATAATTAATACCTAAATTGCCTCGCCACCCGCTCAATCGGTTAGCCGAAAATAAACAGGTACTTCTAGGATACTGGATTTTATTTTTCTTACCTACGCTAAAGATTCAATGATTTTAAAAACTTAAAAACACTAACATAAATAGTAAGAGGGACCCACTTTCAACACCGGTTGGCCTAAATGAAGTACTTAAAATTTTAGGAAAACCAAATGGCGACACGAATGATCAACTCTACTTTGATGTATGGCTACGAGTATTTAGGTAATGTCGGTAGATTGGTGGTGACTCCTTTGACAGATCGCTGCTTTCGAACCCTCTTTGGCGCGTTACATTTGCATTTAGGTAAATGATCCGCTTACGCCCCAACCAGCTAATTGTTGCCGTAGGTGGCGCACCCGAAGGTCCCGCAGGTACCGGAAAAACCGAAACGACAAAAGATCTGGCGAAAGCGGTCGCGAAGCAGTGCGTGGTGTTTAATTGTTCGGACGGTTTGGATTACCTCGCCTTGGGGAAATTTTTCAAGGTTTGTAGTTCTTAACCCACCCGCGTCAGAATGCAATGAGATGGATTAGGGTTTGGCATCGTGTGGAGCGTGGTCGTGCTTTGACGAATTCAACAGGATTGATTTGGAAGTACTCTCAGTAGTCGCCCAGCAGATACTAACCATTCAACGCGGAATCAATTCAGGTTCTGACAAGATGGTATTTGAGGGCACGGAATTGAATCTCGACCCCACGTGTGCGGTCTTTATCACCATGAATCCGGGATACGCCGGGCGGTCAGAATTACCCGATAACTTGAAGGTAACCTTAGTACACCATGAGTTTCACTAACGCCAGTTGTAGGCACTATTTAGATCCGTTGCGATGATGGTACCGGATTACGCTTTAATCTCTGAAATTGAGCTGTACTCTTACGGTTTTCTAAACGCGAAGCCGCTGGCAGTTAAAATTGTCGCCACCTACCGTTTGTGCTCAGAACAGTTATCCTCACAGTGCCATTATGACTACGGTATCTTACCATGTCACTGCCTATTATAAGTGCTTCTTCTAGGAATGCGAGCGGTGAAATCTGTATTGAGAGCCGCGGGTGCTTTAAAATTGCGCTATCCGGACGAAGAGGAAGACATACTAGTTCTACGTTCAATTAAAGACGTAAACTTGGCAAAGTTCCTAAATCAAGACGTTCCTCTATTTCAGGGAATTACATCGGATTTGTTTCCGGGAGTCGAACTACCTCCTCCTGATTACGACGTTTTTGATGTGGCCGTCAGAGATACGTGCGAGCAGTATAATTTACAGTGCACCCCATTCTTCTTGGAAAAGACGCAGCAATTGTACGAAATGATTGTCGTACGTCACGGACTTATGCTTGTCGGTTTACCGTTCGGCGGAAAGACTCGGTGCTATCGCGTATTGGCGGACGCGCTAGGCTTGATTGAGGAGAGGGTAATGTAACTACTGAAAATTGTCCACGCTGTAACAAATTGCAGGGTGGAATGGATGAGCATAGAGCGATATATACTGTCATGAATCCTAAATCAATCACGATGGGCCAATTGTACGGACAATTTGATCCGGTGTCTCACGAATGGTCAGATGGTGTTCTGGCTGTCAACTACCGAGTGTACGCCATGTCAACTACACTGGAAAGGTACTCGCGAACATTTGAGCCGCTAATTAGTACACATTTTTAGGAAGTGGTTGCTTTTTGATGGACCAGTCGATGCCATCTGGATTGAAAACATGAACACAGTGTTGGATGACAACAAAAAATTGTGTTTGATGTCTGGGGAAATAATTCAGTTGGCAAATACCACAAATCTCATATTTGAGCCTATGGATTTGGAAGTCGCTTCTCCTGCTACGGTATGCAACCTGTCACCTCCTCCACTATACTAGAAATGCTGTTTAGGTATCACGTTGTGGTATGATATATCTGGAGCCCTCAACATTGGGTTGGGAACCACTTCTAACGTCATGGATAAACACTCTTCCCCCACTGCTGTCTGAACACCACACGGCAATGGTTAATAACATGTTTCTGAGATTCGGCCGAGCACTCTTGTGGTTTGTTCGCAAAGGAGGCGTGAAGGTAAGCCAACATGGCACACTGCAAATTGTCATCGATGCGATACCAGGAACTGGCGACGACTTCCGACTCTAATCTGATGGTTTCCGCCATGAATTTGTTCGACTGCTTTATGGACGACTTCCTCGACGAAGCCTTTATGGGGCAAACATCAGACCTAGACGTTCGAGCTCAGTTGGAAGGCGCCGTATTTTTCTCTTGCATTTGGTCTCTTGGCGCTACCTTGGATTCGTCGAGCAAGCCCAAATTTAATATTTTATTCAGAGCTCTTTTAGAGAAGGAATTTCCCGCTTCTGTTGCGAAACAGCTGGACATACCGTTTACCATAGCCAAACCGGAGAAACCGTATATCTTCAGTATTCCGTCTGGCGGAACCGTATTCGATTACAGATATATTAAGGAGGTAAGGCAAACGCGTAGAAATTGGCTGGCACTTGCGCGCTTTTCAGGGTAAGGGAAAGTGGAGATTGTGGTCCGACGATCTAATGACCGCTCCTCCGATTCCCCGCGATATCCCGGTTAACCAAATCATCGTGACCACTATTGAAACTATCCGAAATATGGCCCTGATGACGTTATTGGTACAGCATCGGAAGCCGATGATGATTGTCGGTCCAACCGGTACAGGAAAGTCGGTGTATGTGATTGTAAGGCTCTCAAAAATGGAACAAACAGACAGCGTTAGTAAAAGGAAAGTGACTTCCAGGTGTATCATATTTTGCAGATTGCGATTTCAGTATATAAATTGGTACCTGATGGTGATGGTGGTATTTCCTTTTGTGTGTATTTTGAAACTGAAGAAGTCAAATGAAATTCGGGGCTTAGGTTTTAGAAGTTTGTGGGCAATAGACAAAGTTCACGAATCATTTTTTTAATACGTCATTGAGTTCGAGAAACGCAGTGACCTTGTAAAGCGAGTTCCTTGGCTCCAACATGTCGGTCTTTCAGCGTGGATAGTTTTATCTGAATTGATTTTGCGTGCTCCAAATTGCGAAATCAAGATGAGATCATTGCTTGCTTGTGGAAAGGGAAGCTTGCAGAAAAACCAAACGCGTGAGATAACGATGAACGGCCTAACTCGTGTGTAATTCGCGGGACACAACCAATCAGATTTGTTCTTGAAAAATGCAGGTTTACTTAATTACAAGGCGCCATTTTGAAGGGGCGTTAATTAATTGCAAAAAGATAGGTAGGGATTAATCCGGAGAAGTATTTTGGGAGATTCGGTCTTTTGATTATGCAAGAATTAACCACGGGAACCGCCGTAAAAAATCCTTTTTGGAGTCGCTAGGGCGAGAAGTTCTGTGTTTTTGGGCCATCATAAAAAAGTTTAGGTTAAAGCACAGATCTGTGGTTAAAGCCAGGAGAGAGTTTTAGGCGAGTTTTTCGTAAGCCATTTAAGTAAACGTGTTGCTAGCCAAAAGGATTATTGTGCAAGTAAAAGGAAAAACTAACCTTAACGCCAAGGCGGAATAATGAAACGTGTCTGTGCCAAGGTTTTTCGAGAATTAAAAGGGGTTAACCTTTGTCATAAGAGCTTGTGGCATAAAATCGTAAATGAACGTATTTGCAAAATTATGGGTAAGAAGTAGTGTTCAATATTACTTAACGAGTCTTTCCTTTCGTGGAACTTCAAAGCGTTCAGAACCATTGAAAATAGGAACAGTTGTAGTCAAACAAAGAAGGCTATGGACAAACTGCAGTAGAAGCAAATAATTTCGTTTGCCAGTAATAATAAACACAGAAGTTCAAAGTTCGCGAAATTATCTCCAGAGAGCATCTATTCTTAGAAAATCCATAGAATTGAAGATAGCGGTACTAAGATCCAATTTTCAGTTCCCATTGGTCAATTTCCGAAATATTGTCTCTGCACGGAGGGATGTTCCAAGTCCGTTTTTACGGGAATCATCTCAGGGCCAGAATAACATACCACGAACAAGCGATCGATAGCTCCCGATTAATTAAAAAAATCAAAAAAGTGTCTCTAATCCAAAATCTCCGGTTGTACCTATCTACGATTACAATAAATGTTGCACAAACACAAAACACCAGGTAATATTGCTTCGAAACTTTACCTTTTGACTTCAATTGTAGCACTCGAGTCTCGAGTGATACCACACTGGGTTTGTTCGAAATTTAGCTTTTTGTGATGGAAAAACTCCCTTTAACTGATAACTTGAAGACCCTCTGTGAACAAACGGTCGATAATCACAGCACGCCGACTAAACTTTTCCGTAAAAGTCAAGACACACCTCGGCTTTTTATTACGACGGAAAGAAAATTCAAAACACCCTACTTTCTTGTACACTTTAGACTGACTACTATGTCTCAAAAAGCCTCGATAACGACATACAGCTATGTTTCAACGTCCAAAAAACTCGATTCACGTCTTCCACCAAAAAGAGCCAGGATTAACGTGAACGCTTATTTAAATCTTGCCTTCCCATTCCTTTACAAAATAAAGCGCCGTCTTTGAATAATCCGCACTTGTGATAAACTTCGGCAATAACACGTACTTATCTTGAAACTAGTTAGCTTACGCAACGATAAGAAAACCTCTTATCTACGACCGGAGAAAAACATGAGATTAACTTTCACAAATACTACGCACATAATTCTTAACTGAATAAATCTAGTATTTTAACATGTAACTTAAAGTTACAATTACCAAAACTAAATAAACAAAATCAAACATCAGTAATTCTGATACAAATCATTGACTTCAAAATCAAATAATATGTACGACATTGTGTTTAATCTCTAATAAACAACCACATTTAACGTTAACAATGTTGAAAGGCACATACAGAGCCAAAATAGCCAAATGTCCGCCTGACGTAGTTTATACGACAATATATTGAGATCCGTAATACGTCTGACGGCGGGACGGCGCACTGTGATTGGTTGGCGACGAAACTCATGCTTCATTCAATCACTAGCGGTAGTGAACGGAACTCGATTATCTATTCCGTATGAGCTACACAATGTTACATTCTGAAATGTTACGCAGAGCTACGGGTTCCTAGATATCAATATAAATGACCCCACCCCATGAAACCTAGTTTTATAACACAACGTAATTATTTTATTTCCACAAATTTTTTGCTTGCCCAAATTAACAAGAGACTCAAACTTACTGAGTTCGTTAACACACGTGCCAACATTTTTAAAAACAATTACAAACACCTTGAATTTAAAACTAAACCTTTCCCAATACTACCTAAATTAAATCTACTCAAAACATATTTAATCTGCATCAAACACTACAGATAAACATAGTAAAAAATGCATACAGTATTCTTTTTGTTAAATTTAGACGCTAGGTTGGTTATTATGATAATCTTGTACACTTGTTAATTTTAGGTCGACTCTCAATTGTATTGCGAGAACATGACTGACGCAAAACTGGATAACCGTAAAAACGGAAACTGACTAAGGGTCCGTGAGGATTTTACTTACTAACACTTCTACTTCACTAAACAAGCGTTATAGTAATCCCCATCTCAAATTTATTATTTTTACGACATTAAACAGTTATCAACCTAAATAATAAGGAAATTCTGCTCAAAAAAACACCTGCAAAATTTTAATTAACTTGAAATGTCTTGTCAAATTAAATAAACGCAATAATTTCGCATATCTAATAAAGGCCCGAATTCAATTAAACAAAATCGAACAAGGTATAAGCTGATGGCAAGCCTTTCTCATTACATAATAAAATTACGCAAACTAAAATTATGCGTTATCACAGCCACTGTATTAGGTACATAACCTACGTGGTGATCGATGAAGGTCAACTGGTTTAGTCATACAATACAGTATCAGTGCGCGCTAATGGTGTGTAAACAATGCAGACGCTTTGTTTGGGCTCGGCAATAATAATAATACCTTATTGTATGTGGATTACCAAATTTGTGTAAACTTGGTAGGTGGTTTTGAATTAAACACGGCGATTGTTTTTTAAAATTTAAATTTGAAGTTTATCTCGGTTTTGTATAAGAATTGTTTAATGTTTAAGTTTTGTTTATTTTGATCACCATGTAATTTGTTTACTTTGGTTTGTTTATTTAATAATAAAAGTATAATTAAGTGTTAAAAGTCAGGAACATCTGGTCGTGTTTGCGCGTAACAAGGTTCATCTGGCCATTGCGATAAGCACATTTGTTATTGCGTTGCTTAAAGTGAAATTTGATTAGTTTCAAGATAAGCACATGTTTATCGCCGATAAGAACACAACAGGCGGGCAGTTTGTTTCGAAGCGGGGGTTAATTAAAGCTAAGTTCTGATTGGTTGTTTGTTTACGAAATCAAAGAATCAAAGTGAAAGGGAGAAGATCCTTTAAATACGCGAACAACGAAAAACGTAGCTTTTTTCGATGGTGGTCCGACAGTATTAGTGCATGTTAAAAAAACCATTTTGGGTAGGTTGGATATTAAGACTTAAGACGGCGTTCCTCTTTTTGATAGAGAAGTTTGTTTATTGAAGAAGTTTAATTGATTCAATGCAAGTATTTAAGATCTCTTTGATTAAATGTCAATCGATCGCTTGCATGTGTGGTATCTGTAAACAGGCCCTAAGAGCATATCTTTCAGCTTTGTTAATGTAAGTGTAGCCCGGATAAATATTATTTTATCTGGCAATGAACAATTTTGTGTTTAATCCAACCCTAAATTTAGGTTAGGTTCGAGTTTTTATGTTAAATTTTGGTATTCTTTCCCAGGTGTTATTCAAAATTTTTTTAAACAATTCTTTGCAGTTGTTGAAAGTGATCAAGGCTGCTATGATTCCTAAATTAATAAAATGAAGTTTTTATCGAGATTGTTTTGATTGTAGTGGAGATCGAAAGTGTCTTGAGAAATTTATAATAAGTTATTAACTGAACAGGAGTTTTGGGGTGGCTTAGTGACCGTTTTCCATTGCATACAGCAACATATTACCTTCATAATCTTAACATAAAGCCGCCATATGAAATATAAACAAGTTAATTTCCGAGATTACGTTAAAATTCCTTGGGTACTATTTGTATGCTCTTCATTTGTAAGCTCTTCTTTCCATCCAGGTATCCAGGCCGTAACGTTTTTTCTTAGAGTAAATCAGTAAATTATTTAGTGTTGTTGTTGTTTTACTACTACTACTTCGTTTCGGTTCGGTTCTCTGGACGTCATTCTTCTTTCACACATCGCAGTCCGTCCTTCAACTCATTTGCACACGGATCTTTTTCTAGGAATTTCTGCTGAAGAAAAACAAAAAGACCTTCATCCCGTTGTTTATCAATTTCTCCGCCCAAACATCTGCCAATCAGACACAAAACATTATAATGAGCAAATTGGATAAACGAAGAAAAGGTAGGTACGATAAATTCTCCATCAGGTGGTAATCCCAGTTCGTTAACGTTTCAGGAGTATTCGGGCCACCCGTTGGAAAAAACTACGTAATCTTTGTGGATGACGTTAGCATGCCACTTAAAGAAACTTACGGGGCTCAGCCCCCAATTGAGCTTTTAAGGCAATGGTTCGATCACCAAATGTGGTACGACCTAAAGGACATTGTCCAGATGAAGTTAATCGATATACAGGTAACCAATGGAAAAGTGCTCAAAAATTGAGACGATCGTTTCAGTTTATGTGCGCCATGGGACCACCAAGCGGAGGTAATACGGTAACCCCCAGATTTGCAAGGCATTTCAACCACGTCTGTATTGACGAGTTCGACGATGCCGTTATGGTTAACATTTTCAGCAAAATTATGCTTTGGCATTTAGATACGAGGTGCGTCAAATTAAACACCTGGTTTTTTTCCAATTGCTTGGTTTTCAGAGGATTCTCTAAAGAATTTGATCCGTGCATAGACGAAATAGTAACGGCAACGCTAATGGTATACAAGTCGAGTAGAAAGAATTTGCTACCGACACCAGCAAAGTCGCATTACTTATTTAATTTAAGAGACTTCTCTCGTGTTATTCAGGTACGTCTAGACAGTAAGGGCTGGTTTAATTTAGTTTTAGGGTGTTTTGCTGTCGGTTCCAGAGGCGATAGAGGATCTGTTATCGATGAAAAGGTTGTGGGTGCATGAGGTCCTGAGAGTTTATTACGATAGGCTCGTGGACGACGCGGACAGAGCTTGGATCTTTGAAATGCTGCACGAGGTCTGCACCACGTACTTAAATGAAGACATGGATCTTATGTTTGAACGTCTCGCCTTGCCAAACAGAAGCTACGTAAGCGTTCTACGGTACGAATACGATTTATGGTACAGTTTCTTTGCTTAGATTGGCGAAGGAGAACTCAGACAACTGGTTTATTGTGATTTCGCCAATCCCAAAGCCGATACGCGCAATTATGCAGAAGTTTTGGACTTGAATCAACTACGCGAAATAGTCGAAGGATATTTGGCAGAGTTTAACAATATGTCTAAGAAGCCAATGAATCTTGTATTATTTAGGTATTTGCAATCGGCGCGAACGCAAGAACTAACGCAATATTTTAGGTTCGCAATTGAGCACTTGTCTAAAATTTGTCGAGTGGTCAAGCAACCCAGAAGCCACTGTTTACTGGTTGGAGTAGGAGGGTCTGGTAGGCAATCGTTGACTAGGCTCTCAACTCATATCGCCGAATACGAACTGTTTCAAGTGGAAATTACAAAAACATATGGCGCAGTCGAATGGCGCGAAGATGTAAAAATTATCTTAAGGAAATCTAGCGCAAGTGATCAGCATGGAGTGTTGATGTTCTCAGATGCTCAGGTGAATTTCCAATGATGGTAAAAAATATTCGAATTTGACACGTTCTTATTTAGATAAAAGAAGAATCGTTTCTAGAGGATTTGAGTAATCTACTGAATTCGGGAGAAGTGCCCAATTTGTTCTCGACGGAAGAAAAGATGGAGTTATGCGAGAAAATGCGACAAATAGATCGACAAAGGGACAAATCGGTACAAACGGACGGAAGTGCGGCTGCTTTGTTTAATTTGTTCGTGCAAATTGTGAGAGAGCAGCTGCACGTTGTGTTGGTGATGAGTCCTATTGGTGACGGCTTTAGGAACAGAATTCGGAAATTTCCGGCGATCGTAAATTGTTGCACCATAGATTGGTTCCAGGTAAATAGCAATCGTATCAAATTCACTTGGCTTGTGAAAGAATCATTGACACCCCCCATCCCAGACTATAAAACCACATTGCGTTAAATTGTAGGTCACCGATTTACTTTGGCTCACGATTCAACGCGCATTTCCCACAAAAGTAAAACCACCCTACGGTAATTTACAGGCGACCGAGTAACTGCGCTGACCGCTTTACGCCAATGTGCTCTCGTGGTTCGACGCGAATTGCCTGACGCCTGACGGTTCTCCTAAAACAACGAACTTCCCGCTACTTTTTTTCTTGATTGGCACCAATTCCGGGACGCAAGCCGTTTTCACTAATAAGACAAATTTTGTACAACCAGTCAGACAATTACTTGCCACCAATACATCGACCGAATGTGGAGTAATTTTCCGCGGATCTTGTAAAACCCACGCTACGTAGCATAACGACGACTGTACAATGAACAAAATTTTTCCTGTAATCTGAACCAATCACGCGACATCTCACGGCTCACTGGCGCCTTGAGTTTTCAAACGCAGGACCGTATTTTTCGCCCACGCAACACAACCAAACTCCAACGCTAGGTTTGCGGTTGACTTACCTTTGTTTAGTAGCCTCCTACAACACGTAGTGCCTTCTGTGGTAGAGTAGGTACGTGTATATAAAATCAATTGACAACACCTCAAATATTCAGACAAACGAAAGTGTTTGCAAGAATCTAGCTGGTTTTAGGTTGGTAGGCTTGTATGTACAGGGTGGCCAACTAAGAATATTTGTAGCCGAAGAATAACTCTTTTCAATTAACCCGAGTTCGTTAAAATCGGCTCAGGTACTGTATCTGAGGTACTGTATCTGAGGTACTGTATCTGAGGTACTGTATCTGAGGTACTGTATCTGAGGTACTGTATCTAAGGTACTGTATCTGAGGTACTGTATCTGAGGTACTGTATCTGAGAATCTATCCATCGCAGAGGCTTGCGGTAAAAAAATATATTACTAAAATGGCAACGAGCAAAACCTGGAAAATATTTTTAAGTTTCTGAAATGACCGCTAGGGGGCGTAACTGCAATCTGGAATCTAAAAAAGTGATGTTTCTGTGAATTCCGCTATATTAACCTAACAAAAAAATGTCCAATCTTTGAAGTTGACGATAATCTGAACAATTTTTGTTTGACAATTTTTTCTGTATCTCTAAAAATGAAGTGGTGGGGGTATTCAAAGGTTTCCGTAAAGAACACCCTGTATCTTCGAAACGGCTGAGCCGATTTAAACAAACTCGGGTTAGTTCAAAAGAGCTATTTTTCAGCTACAAATATTATACTATTTCAAGTTTTGTTAGTTTCACATATCACCGCTTGAGGGTTTTTTCGACATTCCGACAGAAATGGTTAATTTTCTCAAAAAAAATTAAATACGTTGGTTTGATTTTTTTTCATGAAAAAGTAGCTAAATGATGCCTAAACAAACTCGCCAAAACAGCATCTCGATATCTTGAGATATAGTATATTTTTATATCGTGATAGCCAGCATTTCGGGCATTTACGGCGGCATTAAAAGCTTCCTTTTCTAAATCGATCCACCTTAGGGCCACAAATTATATAATAAAAATAATTCCGGAAAAAATACCTTCAAAATAAAATTTTGAGGGTATAAAATTTCTTTGGCCTAAATTTTAGGTTAGAAACAAGATATCGAGATGCGGTTTTCGCGAGCTTGTTTAGGCACCATTTAGCTACTTCTTCATGAAAAAAAATCAAACCAACGTATTTAATTTTGTTGAGAAAATTAACCATTTCTGTCGGAATGTCGAAAAAAGCCCTCAAGCGGCGATATGTGAAACTAACAAAACTTCAAATATTATAATATTTGTAGCTGAAGAATAACTCTTTTCAATTAACCCGAGTTTGTTAAAATCGGCTCAGTCGTTTCGAAGATACAGGGTGTTCTTTACGGAAACCTTTGAATACCCCCCACCACTTCATTTTTAGAGATACAGGAAAAAATGTCAAACAAAAAGGTTCAGATTATCGCCAACTTGAAAGACCGGACTTTTTTGTTAGGTTAGTATAGCGGAATTCACAGAAAAAACTCACTTTTTTAGATTCCAGATTGCAGTTACGCCCCCTAGCGGCCATTGCAGAAACTTAAAAATATTTTCCAGGTTTTTCTCGTGGCCGTTTTAGTAATAAATTTTTTTACCATGGACAGGTTCCCAGATACAGTACCTCGCATTCTTATTGGGCCACTCTGTACATCTGGCACCCCATGCGTTTGCTAACGGATTGGGTTATGTAACGCTTCTTTCCGGGTCAGTAATATCTTTTTGCAACTTTCTGATACGACCCCTCAGCACCATAATTTACTGCGGGGTCGGAATTTCGATTGTCGGTCATTATGCCAGGTGTTAGTGATCTATGGTGATTTCTGCTTTCCTGATGTCAAGGTACAGATTTGTTGCTTTCTATTCTTAGAATCACGATTGTAACCACAATATTAGTTTGTCGTCTTTCAAATTTGCGAAACAAAACCACTCGTAAACCGCTTTCTCGAAAATGCACCGACTCGAATTCGTTGTCATGTATTTTCCCATATCAAATTAAACAATGCAATACTATGAATCTATACATTATGAATACCGCGTTACAAACGTAACTTTATCTCTGTCTATGGGTAATTTTAAGTCTATGGTTGGTATGAAATTAGTTCTTTTAGATTCCTGTAATATCATCTATCATCGGTAGTGGGAGCCGATGTCTAAGAATAGGTGTACCAAATTTGGTTCAAATCGGTTCAGCTGTTTAACTGGAAATGAGAGTACAGACGGACCGACAGACAGACAGACATCATCGAGATTTTTACCACACGCGCGTTAGTAAAGGGAGGTATTTCATTGGGGTAAAAAATGACCCCCCGCGAAAATACACGTTTTGAAGCACCAGGAATTCGAATCAAACAAAATCTGGATGATGTCGGTCTGTCGGTCCGTCAGTACTGTCATCTCGAACCGATTGGAACAAAATTTGATATCCACATTATTAGACATAAAAGGAAGTGCTGAAGAGCTTTTGGACAGGATCGTGCATGCCCAAGTGTGCCAAACTCTGATTTCCGGCTAAACGGCTGAACCGAATGGAACCTAATTTGGTACACATATTCTTAGACATAAAAGGGCAGAATCACGCATATGCAGGTGTGCAAGTGGTATCTGTGGTAGTCACAGCATACTTTTTATTCGGATTCCTGGTGCTTCAAATGTGTATTTCCGTCGGAGAGTGTGGGGGTCATTTTTACCCGAATATGTTACCACTTTTTTCTTAGGGTGGCTTCAAAACGCAAGACCCTTTGTGTATTTCAAAAAACATATTTGTATTGGTGCCCTATTACCCAATTTTTTCAAATACTTATTTACACACCGTACACATCTGGTATAATATCTCCCTTTTTTATACAGCCTTGGCCTGAAGATGCTCTGTTGGCGGTAGCCACCAGATTCTTAGGAGACATTGAGTTGACAACCGACGAAAGATCCGCCTGCATCGAAATGTGCCAGGCGTTCCACGTGAGTACCCAAGATCTGTCCGCCGAATTCTACTTAAGATTGAAACGTCACAATTACGTCACACCCACGTCATACTTGGAACTAATTAACACTTTTAAAGGATTTCTAACGAAAAAACGGGAGTAAGTCATTCCCGCTTACGATTTTCGCTAACTGACCACGTACCTTGCAGGGAGATACTGAAAATGAAAAGGCGGTATGAGGTAGGCTTGGAAAAACTGGACTACGCCGGAGCGCAGGTGGCAATCATGCAGGAAAGTTTGGAAGCTCTACAGCCTCAGCTGGTGGTTGCGGCGGCTGCGGTGGGCGAGACGATGAAGAAAGTGGTGGCCGAGTCGGCCGAGGCGTCTGAGGTTGAGAAAGTTGTTATGGTCGACGAGGCGGTTGCAAACGAGCAGGTTTGTTGATTTAGAGGTTAAAGGTATATAGGTTAATTTTCGTCTATTTTAGGCGAAAGCAGCCCAAGCCATTAAGGACGAGTGTGACGCAAACCTTGCCGAGGCAATGCCGATTTTAGAAGCGGCTTTGGCGGCATTAAATACATTGACGCCTGCGGATATAACTATCGTAAAAACCATGAAAAATCCTCCAAAAGGAGTCAAACTGGTTATGGAAGCTGTTTGCATTGTTAAGGTACAAAGATGCGCCCTTTAAATTCCTCCTTGCAATTACCAAGTGGCAAAACACGAAGTGCAGCAAAATTTACTTTTATCTACGAAATATGATTTTACTTTCGAAATAAGCAAACAGTTAAAAAGTAATCGTAAACGATTTACATAAAGCGCATTTCCACTTGCATTCATTTCCCATTTGTAAGATGCAACTTCTGTTAAAATCGTAAAAATCCGGCCACAATATGAAAGATAACGTTGCACATGAGCCATCCATTTTTGACATGCTATTTCAATTTCAGTTTATAAGAAGAATTTCATTTCAATGCTTTTCTAAATAAGAAAGTTGGAACTGCGCATGCGCAAACCTAAATTTTGAAACTAATGTTAGATTTTCCTTTGTTCCAAGTGCCTAAGTATCAAATTTCACTTAAATGCTTCCATAGAAAAAAAGTTGGCACTGCGCATGCGCAAAACCAAATTTTGAAATTGGCATTACATTTTCATTTATTCCAACTGCCTATGTATCAATTTCATTCAAATACTTTTATAAATAAAAAAGTTTGCAATTCGGTATATAAATGGTCGAGATCCGAAAAGGGCACTGTGAATTTTGAATCGATTCGACTCAACTTTTGGCATTGCGTATTATATGGCTAAAGCTATGTCCATATTGAATTTCATGCAATTCAGTTAATAACTAACGGAGATGTAAAAGCAATCGGACATTTCTAAACAGAGTTATCGTTCACATGAACAGATAGAGGGACAGACAGACAAAGGAACAGATGGACAGACCAACAGACAGACGACAGACAACAATACAAAATTATAAACGATCTCTAGGATCGTTAATAAACGGCAAAAGTGTAAAATTGTGGAACATGTAAAAAACGGACGGACGAACGGACAAAGTGACCACAATAGCGCATTTTTTTATATTTTTGTGGAAATGCGCTAAAAAATAACGAAAATTCGTTAAATACCTTAATTCCTTAATTTTACTCTTGGAGTTTGACATTATGAGGCATATGGCAGCTGGTTGGAGGATTTGTTTATTTTAATTTAACAAAAGTCAAGTACAATTTTTTTATACTTACATTACAGCATATGTTATTGTAATAGATTGCCGATTCACAAGTTGTGTAAATAGAACTACTGTAACGGTAGTCTGCCTATATTCTATAGGAATTGTTCCGAAAAGTTTCGCAACTTCCACAAGTAGATGGTGCCAGGTTCCTGCTGACGCGCTTTTAACTGCTAGCGATAAAGACCTATGATGCGTATTTTATTTTATGCAAATTTACACTCACACTTACTTTCTTAAATATGGTTGGCATTGATGAACAATATTTCTATTGGGCAATTGTGATCGCACTTGACACAATATAATCAAACGTTTCCTATGTAGGGTATAAAACCGGATAAAGTGCCTGCTCCTAGTGGAATTGGTACCGTCGAAGACTACTGGGGGCCTTCCAAAAAACTATTGGGCGACATGAAATTTTTGGAAAATTTAATCCTATTTGACAAGGACAACATTCCACCCGAATACATGAAGAAATTGGCGAGCACCATTTTAACCGACGAAAATTTCGACCCGGACAAGGTCAAGTCAGCGTCCACCGCCGCGGAAGGTGAACTCTTAATAGCGACGGAGACCATCTGAACGCTTTGTCTAGGTTTATGCAAGTGGGTGATAGCGATTTCAAAGTATGATAAGGTGGCGAAAGTTGTAGCGCCCAAAAAACTTGCGCTGGCCAAGGCCGAAGGAGAGTTCCAAACCGCTATGTCCGCATTGGAGATAAAGAGGAGCATGCTGAGAGCTGCGCGAGAACGCGTTGCCAAACTGGAGGCGTTGTTAGACACGGAGAAGACCAAGTTCCAGCAATTAAATGATGAAGCCGAACTTTGTGCTAAGAAGCTTCAAAGGGCTGAAGAGTTAATCGGTGGTTTGGGCGGGGAGAAGACCCGGTGGTCAAACACGGCGAAGGAATTAGGAGTTACCTACATGCTGCTGACAGGTAAACTGATGCCGTATTATTTATGGTACCTACTACCACTGGATTTATTTTAGGAGACATTTTAATAAGTTCCGGCGTTGTAGCCTATCTGGGACCATTTACTTTACAATTTCGAGTTTTGCAAATTGAGGCTTGGGCAAAGCATTTAAGCCAATTGGGAATTACTTGTTCAAAAGATTTCCAATTGACAGCAGTGTTAGGAGAACCAGTGGTAATAAGACAGTGGAATATATTTGGATTGCCAACTGACTCGTTTAGTATTGATAATGGAATCATTGTTGCGTAAGTCTGCATTATCCACAAGGTAGAGTAGTCTCAAAAAATATTGGATTTTTTTATATTAGAAATTCGAGAAGATGGCCGCTATTGATTGATCCTCAGGGACAAGCCAATAAGTGGATTAGAAATATGGAAAAACAAAACAACTTAATAGTTATCCGTTTAAATCAATCCGACTACGTACGAATGCTGGAGAACGCCATTCAGTTTGGACAACCGGTACTTAACTTTCTTTGTTTTTAGTAATTAAAAGACAGAATTTCGGCATTAATCAATGTAACTTTGAGATTCGTCTTATTTTCCCAATTTCCCCAATTTTCTTCGAATGTGTCATATATTTTTTAGACCACTTTATACGTTTTTTCTCCATTCTCAAATAATGGCTATCATCTAGCAGAGCTTTAATCACCATTGGAAAACACTCCATGGATGGGAACTCTTAAATCTTATTCTTATTCGATTAACGGTTATTTAATGATCAAAATAATTTTTTTATATAGGTCCTTCTCGAAAACGTAGGACAAGAACTGGATCCGATTTTAGAATCCGTTTTAGGGAAGCAAACTTTCAAACAGGGCGGCGCGCTTTGCTTAAAACTGGGCGATACAATAATCGAGTACAACCACTTGTTCAAGTAAGTAACCATAGTTGCAGCGACAGCCACTTAGTTACAGCAAGCGTGCAGGTTTTACATCACCACCAAGCTTCGCAATCCCCACTACCTACCCGAGGTTGCTGTAAAAGTCACTTTGGTTAACTTCATGATTACGAGCGTCGGACTAGAGGATCAACTGCTCGGCATTACCGTGGCTAAAGAAAGGCCCGACTTAGAGACCGAAAAGAATCAATTGATTATACAGGGCGCTCAAAATAAGCGGTAAGTATATTTTGGGTCAAACCGACACTAACTGCGTCATTTAGAATGTTGAAAGAGATCGAAGATAAGATTCTGGCAGTTCTGAGTGAGTCGCAAGGGAATATATTGGAGGATGAGACCGGTGTGCAGATTTTGAGCTCTTCAAAGGTTCTGTCGAACGACATTGCAGCGAAACAAGCCGTAGCAGAAGTGACCGAGAAGAATATCGATATGGCAAGGCTGGCATATACACCCATTGCTGTTCATTCCGCAATATTATTTTTTACAATTGGTAAGTATCCAGGCTATGTGGCCGACTTACAACATTACTTTTAGCGGATCTTGCGAATATTGACCCTATGTATCAGTACTCATTGGTCTGGTTTATGAATTTATTCCGCACTTGTATAGACAACACTGAACGTGTTGAGGATGTGGAACAGCGATTGAAGGACTTAGAAAGTGCGTTCACATATTCGCTCTATGTGAACATATGCAGAAGCTTGTTTGAGAAGGTAACGGTTAACGGTACTTTACTATAGTCTTGCACAATCAGTTTCTAGGACAAACTTCTCTTTTCCTTGATTTTGTCGATAAACTTGCTCAAGAGTATCAACGCCGTTGACATTGGCGAGTGGATGTTTTTACTTACTGGCGGTGTTGGGTTGGATAATCCAAATAAAAATCCCAGTAATTGGTTGGTAACGAAGAGTTGGGACGAGCTGTGTCGTTTAGACAATTATCCCACGTTTTCGTAAGTACGAGCTGAAGCTAACCAATTTTTTTTCTGAGCGGTTGTTGTAGGGGCATTAAGGATCACTTTTCGAAACACATTACAGACTGGAGAGAAATGTTTGATCACCCCGAACCTCACATGTTCCCATTACCTAACCCTTGGGATACGAAGCTGTCCCAGTTTCAAGCTTTGTTGGTCTTGCGGTGCATCAGGCCCGACAAGATAGTACCCGCGATACAGAAGTTTGTCGAAGGTAGGTAATTAGTTTGAGATCCGTGAACTTGGCTGTGGGTACCCAACCGCCAATTTGATACAACTTGATTTCGGCCTTAAAAATATTATGCTGTTCTGATAATTATTATAAAAGCGAATATTGCGAGGCAAAGCAAAATTTATAACAATCATTTCATCACCAAAGAACACATTCTATGCTCTCATTCATTGCAATTCCGCAACGAAGTAGGAGGGGGTCGATGCTGCTGCACGCGCCGATTTATTTTCCTTTCCATTTTCTATTTATCTTATTGCCGAGTGTTACAAATTTTGTACTCTCAAACAGAATGAGGAATCATCACAGGTGGCCAAAATGTAATGATACATCCGTAGCATTTGTTCAAAGAACCAAGAAAAACCTTCACGTTGTCCACGTAATGTAAAAGTACCCCTCCTTCTGTGGGATTCGTGTATATAAGACCTCGGCTAGCCGATTTTTATCGCCTCGAAAAGGATATGTGAAAATAAGGGACAGTAATCTTTATTTATTTGTTTCGCGAAAGGGGTTTTATGTCTTATGAATTGTACCGCTTGTACCGCTGAAAGAAAAAGAACGAGGCAAGTGACTGAAAAAGCAAATGTTAACGCCACACTCTCACTATTTATCAATTTATTTTTAGTTAAAGCAAAAAATGTATATATAATTACCCCTATTAATTCACCTTGAAGGTACTGTAAAAGTAAACTACTTGCACACAAAATACTGACATATCAAACAACAAACGTTTACACCTACTTTACTCATGCTAATTAGAAACAAGGCCAATGGACCTATAACAAATTGATACCTCTACTGACAAAACAACGAAAACGTAAGCGACCGATTTGAAATCTTTTTGCAATAGAAATAATCTCTAAATTAAATGACCACGCGAAAATCTTTACCCAAATTGTTAACGAAACGCAATACTTGGCGATAGACGTCAAAATAAACGGTCAGTATAAGAGGAGTGTACCTAGATACCACGTTAGAAATACACGGACCGCTCACAGAATGCGCTCGATTGTTACACCCCCCCGGTCCAGCTCCGCCATCAACCCCCATCAAAAGGATTACGACCCGACCCGCCAGTGGCCGAACCTCAGAACAAAGGTTCGGCAGGAAATAAATACAGCATCCGAGACGCCCAGAAGGCACGGGATTTGGACAAGTCTTCCACTATCCTTCTACAAGCGACTTAGACTGGTCAATTGGCTCTAATCCATCACTTTCCGCGTTGACGGTCCTCCCTGACCGGTGTATCGCGGTGCCAACACTCACGTGTATGTATATTGTAACCGTAGTTATTAATAAATGTCGTCACTGTTCCCCACGCAGACCAGAAGCGGACGCCGGCGCCTACCCAGCACAAGACACGATTAGGGATGTCCTCGCCCCCCCCCCCCCCATCCCACTACCACCGACTATTCCCTTATTCCAAAATTAACTCTAACAGAATGTCTGTTAATGAACACACTCGTAATTAACGCACGAAATCTGAACACCAAAGTCATGTGACTTACTGTGGTTCATTCTGAAGACGCTGTCCACATAGATACAAACGCGGGTCCGTGTGGCCCGGTTCAGTTGAAGCTGGACTGCGGTACTAAGGGTCCCTGGTTCGAATCCGGGTTCGGGCATGGATATTTGCATGGTACAATAAGACAAGGTATGCCTATGCGTGACGTCATTGCGACTGGACTCTACCACTCAATAAAGGAATGGGGTTTATGTTAATAAAAGTGTATCCCCTTTACAGATGTGATCAGATTTGTTCAATCTATGTCAACTGCGTCAAGTTTCTTACATTAAACTTACAAAGTATCAATTACTGCATGTTATCAATATAAATATTTAAAGTTACAATAAAATATGTAAGTAAAAAAAGTAAATATTATATTCGCCTTTCAAAGAACGAGACCTCTAGCGGCAATTAAAAAAAACTTAAGTGAACTGCTTAAAAATTAATGTGAAAATTACAAAAGTGTGATTTAATCTTAACACACAAAAGGAAAATGGTACAAAAACATAAACAATTATTACAATAATGTACTAAAATTACGACTTACTACATACATACTTGTCCGGGAATTGGAATATCCAAATAAAAGGTATCCGTACACAGTTCACAAAAAAATTTCAATTAATACAATTGACACTTTACACTAACGACATTAGCTAATCGCCACATCTTCTCTTAGGGTAGACAAAGACGTTCAATAAAAAAACTCAACTTCAAACTGAGTCACGTTGAAAACACAGGCCGACAAACACCTCTCCTTGCAGCACATTTGATGGCCAAAGCTTTACGATAATCCTCCAGTCGGTAAGATAAAAAAAACTTCGGCGTTGTACTATGCACGAACAAACGTAGAACAATAATTAGCCGCGAATTCGGCTTCCGGCTTCACAAACGGAACTTCTTCAGTCTTCAATCTCACCTGAATCTCACATTGAACGAAAACTTTTGATGCTGGCTGTAGCTTCAAATAAATAATAAACTGACCGTAATTCAACTATGGAACTAAATCTTCAAACGAAATGTATCTCGGCGCTGAACGTGGCTAAAAGCTGATTTTAAATTCTTCCACGAAACGTAACTCTGCGTAGACTATGGCTGAAAGCGACGCTTTTGTGAAACCCTTCTTCCGAAAACAAAAATTACAACAACCAATGATACAAAGTTGACCACAAAGAGAGAAACAAAACTATCTTATCAACGAACGTTATTAGGCCAAGAAAATAGAGGTAGATTAATTTTTTTAAATCAATTTGTTATCTACGAAGCTCTGGATAGGACACAGAGGAAATTATTTTGTAAATTACAGTTGTAACTGGGAATTAGTTTATAATCTACAGTTGTAATTGGGAATTACACTAATTTACAGTTGTAACTGGGAATTATGCTAATTTACAGTTGTAACTAGGAATTATACTAATTTACAGTTGTAACTGGGAATTATACTAATTTACAGTTGTAACTAGGAATTAGTTTATAATTTACAGTTGTCATTGGGAATTACACTAATTTACAGTTATAACTGGGAATTAAACTAATTTACCGTTGTAACTGTCAAGGATAATTCCCAGTTACAACTGTAAATTAGTATTATTCCCAGTTACAACTGTAAATTAGCATGATTCCCAGTTACAACTGTAAATTAGTGTAATTCCCGATTACAACTGTAAATTATAAACTAATTCCCAGTTACAACTGTAAATTAGTATAATTCCCAGTTACAACTGTAATTTACAAAATAATTTCCTATGTGTCCTATCCAGAGCTTCGTAGTTATCAGACATTAAGAGATAAATCCAAACTTATATTCCAGAAAAAATAAAATTCAATCTCTCTTACCTACACAGAAAAGGCGATAAATCACATCTACCTGTCTATTAAATTAAGCATTTACATTTGATACCAGGTAAAGACCCAACAAAATTCCCGGAACTTTCTACGATTAAATAAAATGTAAACAAAACAACCTTGACTGCTTTCTCGTATGACAAAATAATCTCCATGCCGTTATATACAGCAACGACAAATAATAAAATTAATTAGAAAAGGAGACCGCCTTAATTAGGTTTTCCGAATATTTCATCCTGCCGGACGAAATAAACACAGCACTACATGAAGATTTCTAAAAATTGCGTCCCGTTCATGTACTCCGTGTGTTTCTTTTCAATTTGGACTCGAGATTCATTCATTCATTTAGGTTTATAGAACATAATTAGGTTAGGAAAAAAACACTTCTTGCTGCTCTAATGGGGGACCCATATCAATGGAATGAGACATCAATGAGCTTTCTACGGCTTTTCTGTGCTGATATCTGTCATTCGCATTGACAGACGGAAGGACGGACTCAGCATAAACAAGGAGACCTTGGTGCAGCCGGCCCGCTTGTCACAGCAGAGTGCAAACGAGACTGCGGAACTAACAATCCCCGGTTCGGATCTGGCTTCGGGCAGGGCTGAAACCACGCCCACTTACACAAAAAAATCTATAGGCTAAGGAGAGTAAAATTTACTGCACTCACCTTTCTTCAGAGATTGTTTGCACCATTAATGAGTACAAAATTTGTGTCTCTTGTTAAAAATAACAGCACAAAATCAACACAAAATTGTTTGTTACCTTTTAAAAACTTTGCTTGCATAATACGTAATACAGTGGCATGTGACCGCTTGTGTCTTTTTTAGTGTCTTGATGAATCCAACAGCATAAAACTTTTAACTGACAAAATTATTATTATGCTCACTTCACGAAATTGTTAGTTTGTTATTGAATCGCGATTTTGCAGCACAACTGGGAAGACGATACATCGAACCACCGCCTTTTGATTTAACATCATCTTACTACGATTCGCACTGCTGCATACCACTAATATTTATTTTAACACCCGGAGCCGACCCGATGGCGTTGCTGTTAAAATTCGCCGACGATCAAGGATTTGGAACTTCGCGACTGTTCTCGTTGTCATTAGGACAAGGACAGGGACCAATTGCGATTCGACTAATTGATGATGGAATTAGAAATGGCACGTGGGTGGTTCTACAAAATTGTCACCTCGCGAAGAGCTTCATGCCAACGTTAGAAAGGGTAATACTATACTCGCACGGCACAGTTGGTCTTACGGCACTTTTAGATTTGTGAAAGTTTTGCACCGGATTCGACTAATCCCGATTTTCGTTTGTGGTTAACTTCGTACCCGGCGGACCATTTTCCTGTCGTCATTCTCCAAAACGGCGTAAAAATGACTAACGAACCGCCAAAAGGTCTACGGGCAAATATAACAAGATCATACTTAAGTGATCCCGTCTCGAACCCCGATTGGTTCGATGGTTGTCAGCAAGGGCCCGCTTTTAAGAAATTATTATTCAGCTTATGCTTTTTTCATGCACTGATTCAAGAAAGAAGAAGCTTCGGCCCTTTAGGTTGGAACATACCTTACGAATTTAACGAAACTGATTTGCGAATCAGCGTTATGCAACTTCAAATATTCTTAAACCAATATGAAGTAAATTAAGCTCGCAATTTTTATTCAATAATGGATTTTTTTAGGATATTCAATATGACGCTATAACTTACTTGACAGGCGAATGTAATTATGGCGGTCGAGTTACGGACGATTGGGATAGAAGATGCTTGATGACGATTTTAAGGCGTTTTTATTGTCCTGCGTTGGTTGAGACACCGAATTACCCTCTTGATTCCACAGGTAGGTAGGAATAATGTTACTACGTACCTACGACTTATGTAGTATAGTATCTCTTTTAAATTCGAGTGTACCGATAGGTGAGACCGGCTAGCAATGTTCATTAAATTTAAATTAACAAACTTGTATGGCATTACGATTACTTTGATGTAATAAACTTGTAGGGCGATACTATGCTCCCGATCTCACCGATTACGATGAATTTATGAATTATACGAAATCTCTTCCTCTGATAACGCATCCTGAAGTATTTGGAATGAATGAAAATGCCGACATTGTAAAGGACCAGAAGGAAACGGATTTACTATTCTCAACTGTTCTGCTAACACAGGTATCATTTACATAAATTAGTTTGCAAAAGGTGTCATTTCTTTATAATATAGCTAAAGGTAGGTATTGCAAACCATTCTTGTATTTTTTTATTCTCTCTAATATTAACTAATATTACCTCTTGCTGCTTGACTCTTCAGGACCGAACCGTAAGTTACACATTGATTAAGCTTCCAATTTATAATATACCTACCTTATTGTATTGCAATACCAGGATTTGAAACTATTGCGGGTAAGTCACACCTTTTATTTTCAAAGTATAGATTGTTTCATGCACTTTTTTGCACACTAGGATTTAAAAATCCAGGTGAGTCTCTCCAACTAAACTAAAAATCTCGGAAATGTGTGTCGTTATTTACCTTACCCCTACCTCTTAGGATGCACTTGCTAGTGGAGGGTCCGCCAAGTCTCCCGACGAAGTTGTCTTTGATGTGGCCACTGACATTCTAAAAAAACTACCTCCAAATTTTGATCGCGACGCAGCGATGGAAAAATACCCAACCGAATACATGCAAAGCATGAACACAGTCTTGGTACAGGAGTTTGTAAGATTCAACAAACTGCTGACGTGCATTAGAAACAGCCTTGTTAATGTAAAAAAAGCTATAAAAGGTAATTTAGTTTAGTCACATGCGGGTTTGACACACTATTTTTGTCAACAGGTCAAATTATTATGTCCGACGATTTGGAGGAAGTTGTAACAAGCATGTTGACAGGAAAAATACCTAAAATGTGGGCTAAAAATTCGTATCCATCTTTAAAACCACTAGGAAGTTATGTCCACGATTTCTTGGCGCGATTGGAATTTTTACAGGTAAAAAAATGCGCGACTGCTGTTTCTGATCGAAAAATTTAGAAATGGTACGACGATGGTGCCCCTGTCACCTTTTGGTTGTCGGGATTCTTCTTTACCCAAGCGTTCCTAACGGGAGCACAGCAAAACTTTGCCAGAAAGTACAAGATCCCAATTGACCTTCTTGCGTTTGACTACCAGATATTAAAACAAACCACATTCAAAACACCGCCCGAAAACGGCGTGTACATCTATGGTTTATACCTGGAAGGCGCTAGATTTGATTTGAATACTATGGTTTTGAGCGAATCCTACCCCAAAGTACTGTACGATACCATGCCATTCGTTAGTAGATTACAGGATATCAAACATGATTTTAAAAAGACAAATGTTTTAGATGTGGTTCATTCCATTGAAAAGGAGTGATTTAGTTCCCAGATTTTGTTACACCTCTCCCGTGTATAAGACTTCCGAGCGAAGAGGTGTCTTGTCTACTACCGGACATTCGACTAATTTTGTGATACCGATCACGTTACCGACTCAGAAACCGCCAGAGCACTGGATCATGCGAGGCGTGGCTTTACTGTGCCAATTATCACAATGACTTTACATTTACAAAAGTAGTATTTATTATTTTTATAATTTTATACACCAATATATACAAATGTAAACCATGGACGTCAATTCTATGTTATATTTAATCACCTCAAATAAATCCCCCAGAATTGTATAAAATTAAACTTAAAAACGCAAGGGAAATTTCCGATGGCGACCCTGCACCATAAAACAAGGTCACCCCTTAGTTAGTTATGTAACCAAAGCCACCGAATACGTTTGAAAAACTTACAAGGTTACAGATGCCTGAAGATCATTTGATTGTGCAAAGTTGACTTGTAATACGTTTGGAAAAAATCGCGTTCCTAATTAGAGTAACTTAGGTTTTGTAATATGGCATCACTCTCTTTTCTCTCTATAGGTTCCTTTAAATCAAGTAGCAGAATTAATTTATCAATATCAAAGTTTAATTTCAAAAGAAATGCTTCAATTCATTGATTTAAATTCCCGAAACTGCAAAAATAATCGTCATGTGCCCTTTTGGAATTTCCAATGCTATCTGCTAAACTACCCATCCAGTTTTTTTTAATGAAATTTGAAATACGGTTAATTAGCATTAATATGAATATTCCGAGTGCAGAAACCTCTTTTGGCATGCTAACGCTATCTCCTAAAGTATTTATACAATCTTGACCAAATTGGAGCTGTGGTAAATTTGAAATGCATAATTTGTCATTTTTTAAGTGTAGCTTAGATATTGCAATACGGCATTTTTCTCTCATATTATTTATTTATCGAACGTTTTGCTTTTGATTTTTTCGCACTATAAAAACAAGATCACGCCTTAGTTACGGCACCAAGACCACGGCCTTGGTCCATAAACAAAGTCACTCCACTGTGAAATCCGCTTCACCAATATATATATACTTAATGTATACTTAAATTTAAAAGAAAAAAAGTATTATTAATGGCCAAACACAATACACAGTTTGAAAAACTTGTTGATGACGCCAAAGAGATATTACAACACGTGTTCAGCAAAAAGATCGCTTAATATAGCATTTTCGGAATCTGTAGAAGCTACCTATAGGGAGAAATTCTTCTAGTTGAGGATAGATGACGCCACCATAAAGTAAAATTGTTAATTTCAAAGTCATCTTACCCGACTTACGCCTACTGTTCTGCACGCCTCGTACAAGGCGATGAAAGAAACTCCTGAATGTTAATTCAGTCGAAATTTCCACTCCCAAATTGCGATCTCATTTTGGCAGTATATACGCTAAACAATCCATTTCTTACCACATTGAAATCAAATACCTACTTCTACAAATCAAAGGTAGGTTGTTGAAGGGACGATTTGCGTTTGTACACAACGACAATTGCCGGCAGTGCTAATCCAATTACTTCAGCGCACTGTGTACCTGCATATTTTAATTAATTCCAATTCCGTGTAGGTAGGTACATTACTTTGTGCTCCAAAGACACAAAGGTTGAATTTAATTTGAATCTCTCTGTAAAGAGAATAACGTAAATGTTTGTTGGCCCGCTGTTCTCTTCTAAATGCCCTCTTTCGACGTAAAGAATGTAGACAATATGCAAATGTAAGGGAAAAAGTGGCGATAATAAGTTAGCATCCTGTTAGTATAACGTCTTTAGATAATACCTTCATGTGGTTGCTAGGGTTACGCTTTAGAGATCGATGTTCACCCCTAGTACCCTTGAGAATGCCACCGGTTTAGGCCAGTCAGGATAAGCCCCGTTACAGGTTGATTTAGGAGGACCATATAATCGCTGATGGTGATGACCCATCAAAGTGCCCACAGTGCATAAATTTTAATTTCTATTTTTATTGTGACCCGAAAGTCGTGAATTCCTTTGTTGTTCATTTAGTGCGAATGTAAAATGTGTTTTCTTATGGCGAGTAAATTTCTCTCGTTGGTTAGGACTCTCTTTGTTATGGATCTCTTCAGATTACGCGCTAAATATTGTTAACATTTTTATTTTCAGTTTTTTACACACCGAACCTACGACCTACAAATACATACAACAAGTGGCAATTCGAGGACAAAGAAAAAAATTATGACAGTCCTCGTCTGAGATCGAAGAGCCCATTTTTGTGTGGCAGATCAGTATTAATTCTATTAGCTAGTTTCACCATCAATAAGATCATGTCGAAGGCTACCACATTTCCTTTGTCGGTACCCACTTGCGACGTTCCGTTCGCTCGAAAATCGCGTTTGAAATTTTGACTCCACCATCAGCCAGATCTTGTTCGTAGTTACCATATTTCCCTTGTCGGTACCCACTTCTGACGCTTCCACAGTTATATAAACTCGCCACATCTACGAATACAGTGCAGTCGTCATTTACAATTGAAGCATTCTATCCAATTCAATCCAAGTGCAACGTCATGAGCCAGGTGGGTAAAACGTCTAGAAAGTGCGTTCAAGGTATTCAATCCTACGAACGATATAAAAATGTACTCCATTGGAGTAAATACGTACGACATCCTCGCAAACATATTATCTCTCGAAAGTAAAACGTTTCCAGGAATAATACAGACATTGGACCATTCCTACTCATCAGCTCCCTTAGAGGTAGCCGAAATATTTAGATTTGGTAAACAATTAGAAGAGGCGAGTCGATGCGAAAATACGTACTGTCAAGGACTACAAGTCAATTGCATATTTGGAAATAGTTGAACAACACTTATATTCTAAAGTGACTAAATATAGAAAGTACCGCAACCCTTTGGGCTCGTGTGTTAGAGAGAGAACGCATGATTTTTGCCCAAAAATGGCGGAAGTTACCAGATTCTAGTAACTTTAATGTTAGAGATTGTTCCACCTGTTTGGAGATATCTGTATATATTTTTATGTCTTACTAACCTATCACAGCACATTTTATATCTGTAATACGCGGGCATAAAGTACCACTTTATACCCTAGAGCATTAAGTATCACCATAGTAACTCTTTTATACTTAATGACAAAAGGAACAAATATTTGCAGGTCATTGAAAATTAGAAACGTCAATTATTAATTGTCAATACCTACTAAATCACAAGAGTAGCCTTATTTCGTATAGTTTCTGGAACTTCTTGCTCATTCACGATGAATTGAATTATTTAAAATTACGTTTGACGTTTGGATGGTTTCAATCACATTAACAAATTTGAACCACGCATACTCGATCAAACATAATGAATTATTTTGTAAACGAATTTTGACGAAGAAAACTATTTGTAAAACATAAAATTGTGTATGTACCACGGGCATAAACTGATGTTTATACTCTCGGGCGACTAAAAAGCTCTCGGGCCATATGCCCTCGAGCTTTTTAACTCGTCGCCCTCGAGAACTGGACTTTTGCGCTGTTGCCACGTTCGCGCAAGTGATCGTCAGTCTAGGCAGCTATGAAAAGTAACTCCGAGAAGTGCAAACCACATCACTCTATCTCTTCTAGTTTTCAAAATATACCCGAAAAATATCGAAAACAAACAATTTGGAGCACCCTGCACATTTCTTACAGATCAATTTTAGAACTAATTATTTATGTTTATTATTGCTTATAAATGAGTAACAAATAAAATAGTGTACAGTATACACCAGGTAATATATTAGTTTATACTGGCTCTAGGAGATGACAGGATCGCCTGACGGCTCGCTATAGTCAACTTCTCTTGTCGCCAGTAAGAACTCCCTTACCTACTTGGGTAATAATGTAGAATACTATAAAATAGGCAGTTTTGACCTTTTCTTCTATCTTATGGGTAGTAAGATATGATAACATCCCAAAAAGTTGCGTTTTCACCCTCTATCTCAGAAACAAACATAACGAGATTGATTCTGTTTGTGGTGGGTATTAAAAGTTTCGCAAAACAGTGGGACAGAGTCGCCAAAACCGCAAATCATCTTTAAAAACAGTTGAGATACACTGCAGCTCAACCAAAATAAGACTTTATTTTTGAGAAGTTTAACTTTATTTTTAATGGTCTTTCCCACATACTATAAAATACGTAGTTGAAGATACAAGACTTAGGAAACGAGACTTAATAGGATTCATGAATTACGAGTCACGACGGGAAGGGCGGCTCCATCTTCATAGGCATGTGTACGCTGCCCTTTATATTTTATAGGACCTTTCATGGGTAAACACTTTTTGTTTTTAGTTGGGCGGTGAAATACAACATCATCTCTATTTAGCAACCTGTATTTTCTTCCAGAGAAATGTTTTAACATTAATGATCGTATACGTCTACTCTACCCAATTTGCATCAGTAAAATATAATCATAATATAATACTATGATATAATGCTGTATGGAATCTTCTAGAGCGATGTCGAGGCGTCAACAAGTCGCCACCAAATGAAAGGGAATGTGGATGTGTCGCATTTTTTCCAGGAAATATGATATGCTTATTCTAGACTTTTAGGGGTTATTGGGTGCTCTATTATAAGCAAATTACATTGTACTTAATTTAAGTTTCGAAGTGACAAATAATGAAATTCGCGCTCGTATTATAAATTTACATATTGTAAATTAACTTTTTTCTACAACCTGCATCTAAACTTAATCTACCACAAAACAAATTTAATATTCGCCAAATACATGTCACCCACGTCGCTGGTTTACATACTTGTTGACTTCTTCTTCTTTCGCTGTACGTGCATCTACGTCAATTCACTGAATAATTTGAATGACATGAATGCCCAACTTTCTTTCTTTAAACCCCGTTTATGAACACGCTCGTCGATCGCCTAACAATAATCTTAAAACAAAAATTTTATAAAAGGACACGCCTGCAAATTGCATTTAATTTAAACCTCATAAGTACCAAGTTAAACTAAGCAACCATTCTGCGCGTACATCTGACCTACATTATTTTAATCAAAGACGAAACTATCTGCGGGGTGACCGGTCTCTCCCCAGACAACAACAGACAAAAATGAATTAATTTTATCTTTATAAAAAGAGGTACAAACATGAAATTTTTTCAGAACGGATACCCACATCCGTCATTGTGTTCAATTAGGTGTGCCCAATTTACAACTTATTTTCGGCATAATTACAAGATACCATTTCATTG